AGACGTAACAGCTATAAACCGAGTTTCGATACCAGTGGTGGGCAAAGCACAGAAAACCCTTTGTGCAGCTTTGTGCTTGATAACAAACAACAATAAAATCGCAAACTAGCTAAATACATTGAGCGCTCGACTTGCAATCTGAGGGTCGCGGGTTCGAATCCCCGTCCCACCAAACAGCCGTGGGAGTGTTATATTGTGACGTTGGTAAAATAGTAGCCCAAGAGTTGGCGGTGGGTGGTGATGACTAGCTGCCTTCCCTCTAGGCTTACACTGCTAAATTAGGGACGGTAGCGCAGATAGCCCTCGTGTAGCTTTGAGCGAAATTCAAAAAACAAACAAACTCTTCTGAAAGAAGTAATTACATAATTTGTATATCACTCGTGACATCATTCGATTATATTATTTTGAGCCAATCGGAGGCCGAATGACGGAGTGTCGCCCTCTTCGCAACTGGTAACACAACAGTAGAACAGCTATAATTCTGAATCCACAGTATATATTTAATTTTTTATTTGTTTTTTTTGGTAATGTAGATTACTTTGAATACGGGTCAAGAATGAATACTAGTAACGAAGTTGAGCACATCGTCTTGACAGTTGCCAAGGTTTATATTTGTTGTAATGGTCAATTAACTATGATTAGTAGTAATATTAGTGCTAGTCACTAAGTCAGTGATAGTAATATCGTGAGAGTTAAAATTGGTAAAATCAATGTGAATCACTGAATGTTAGATTATTAATAATATGCTATTTTAGTAATTTTTACTTTTTTTTAATTCTGTGTATTAAGATCTGGTTAGGCCCAATATATATTTACAATTTTTATATTTAGGCGTATCGTTTGAATTATTTTTGTGGGAATCGTTTGCTGTGTTTTCTCTAGAAGAAGAAATTGTCCGGATGTTGCTTTTCGAATGTATTCTCACCTCCGTTTATTTAGGTACCAAGTCTCTTGCATTTATTAATTTAGTCCTACCTTGCGCTCTCACATCTAAAATTGTAGTTCTAATAAGATTTTTCTCCCGCCACTTGTACTATAGGTACGAACCGCAATGGGCTTTTTCGAACATTTTTCGATACAGGATTCTCTTTTGACTAGTTTTGTGTTTCCGATTGATTCAATTAATATTTTGTAACCTATTTCCTGTAGGATGTCTATTCATATGTTTTTGTGACACGATTTTCAGCTTTCATTTTCAAGGTGGGGAGTACCAAGGCTAATGCAACTTTTAGGATTCATTATTATTTTATACATTTTACTTTAATGTATTTCCAAAAACTTGTCCCAGAAATGTACTTGTGGTATTAAAAGTTTTAACTATATCCATATTTATCAAACACCAAAAATCTGATTAAATAGTTGAACAATGAAATTATGAAAATAAAGAACAAATAAGAAATCTAATAATTAATATGTAATCACTGTTTCAATTATTATCTTCAGGTAAAAAAAAAGAACCGAGATGCTACTAGTATTATACGTGCAAAGATAATTACATTTAATAACTATTTAATTATATTTTTGATGTTTCATACATATGAATATAATTAAATTTTTTAATATCACAAATACATTTCTGAAACAAGTCTTGAAAATACAAAATGAACCATAAAACTTGCATTAGGTATCCCTCACCTTGAAAGCATAAAATTGTGTCACCAAATGCATTAAAAACATCAGAAAATAAATTTTTCATGAGGATGCACCTTGAATATACCCTTTCCAACATTTATCTGTTCTGCCATTAGCCATATTTAAGGTTGCATGATGTTTCACCTCCAGCAAGATAAAGAGTTACCTGTGCTGTTTTTCCTTACCCTTGGATTTTCTTTATTTATTTGTCCTTTGGTGTGTAAACATTAGAGCAGGGGTTTGTTGTTATTTGGTAGTTAATGTCTGGGTGGGGGAGCTCACCCAGTGATCTTGTTTGTTCTCATTGGAATTTCTAGTACAGTATTAAGCCTTGCCATTAAATAAAAGGTCTGAAGGTGAGGTAATGGTGATTGGTCAGTTCATTGGTAGTTGATTATTATTTGGATTCTGGTTGCTGTGTAGTTGAGAGATAACTGTTGGCACTTTAATATATTTCTTAATTGTTCATTGTCGGCTATTATCATATGGTATTTGGTTCATTATATTCATTTGTACATTTGAAAGTTGGTTTCAGTCAGTCAGGGTAAAGATTGTTGCTGTTCAATGTTCTGAAGATGTGCAACCTTTGTAAGATTACATAACTAGGGTTAAGTTCATAATTATATATTCATTGACATCCTAAAGTTGTCTGCTTTGTAGCAGAGACCTTTTATTTTTATCCTGCTGGTTAGAATTGAAATATTCTATACTAAATCCTCAACCTGTACAGTGTGTTATTCTGTTGTCTTTGGACTTGTGTTTATATGAATATCACAAAGGCTTATCAATCAAGGATGCAGAAGATAGAGAAATATCAAATTAAGAGAACTCTGTAAGTTAGAAGTATTGGACTAGAGTAGTTGGATTGCAACAATTACATAGTGAGATCATTTCATTATACAATATAATATTGATACTCATTCAGGAAATTAAGGTTCTGTTAGTGCTAGTAAGGGGAGGTTTTTAGTTAGTATTTGTTACAGACCACCAGATAAAACTGACGAAATTAACAAGAAATTCTATATGGAAAGAAAGAATCCAACTTTTAATGAGGTTATAATTATGGGAGATTTTTATTTCAAGCATATAGACTGGGAAACATTAGTCAAGCCATGAGGTAGACAAGTTTTCAAAACCATTCAGGATGGTTTTCTTCACATACTAGAAAAAAATTCTGTTTTTTTTATATTTGTTGTTAACTTTTAATATAGAAATGGTTGAGAAGGTGGTGATTGGGGAACATCTGGGTGTAAGTAATCATTGCTCAATTAAGTTTGATGTTTTACTGCATAAGGATATGAGGCATAATGAGATTTTTCTTACAATTTTCAAAAAAAAAAGCAGATTTGGAAGGCATGCAACAAAAATAAGTGTGTAAAATTTTTTAAATAAATTTTTAAATATTCAATATTTATTTCTTATAGAAAAAAGATGGCTGTAATTACAAAAACCAGGTTTACTCACAAATGGTATAAGGGACAAAATTAAAAGCATTATAAATTTAAGAAGATTAAATTGCCTGTTATGAGAAGAGACTTGGTGCATTATGGAAGATAAAGATAGTATATGAAAAAGGTTGGATTAAAATGTAAAACTTAATAATAAGTATTTCTTAAAATACAATAAGGGTATGCAAAATGCTAGGAAAGGAGTAGGGCCTTTGAAGGATGATAGAGGATGGCTCATTTCTAGAGGTGAAGGATTAATGAACTTTGCTAATTGATTAATCATCAATTTGTGTCATGCACATTAACTGGTTACATTCAACTGTTTGATTATTCTTACAAGACGGATAAATAAAAAAAAAGTAAAATGAATCCATTATTCTCACATGAGATGACTTTAAAAACCACAAGGTTCTCACTAGGGTCCCAGACTCTTAACTTTTTTTTTCAAGAATCCCAGTGAGATTTTCAGGGGTCCCTTAGGTAGAACTTAATAAACTCAGAAAAAAAGCACTTTGGTGTCAATGAAAAACTTTATTTACAGTGTACACTGCATGTTGTTTCCCCATATGAGTGTAAAGTAATTTTCTTGTTGAGATTAAAAATACTTTTCTTCCTCTGAATATTGTCAAATTTCATTTTCGTAACTTCTAAAACCTCCTTAATAAATAAAAGATGGTATTTTTTTTTTTCCCAGAAAACTATATTTTTTCAGTTTTTTTCTATACCTTAACTATATGAGGTTGATTTGACTTACCTTGTATCCATCACAAACAAATTAGGAAATAATTATAAATTTCACATATTTTCTTTCTGAAATGACTGTAAATTGTAACAGAAAAACCAGAATTGTTTATTCTAAGTAGCTTAAAGCTTGTAACAGTATGCATCTATTTATACTTAAATTTTATTGCCATTTGAATGGTGTCTAACTGCTATTCACATCATGTATATTGCAAATCATTTGAGAGCTTGTAGCTTACATTACAGTATTGAATTGTATAATACACAGACTACTTGCAAGTGTACCTCATAGAAAATTATTATTAATATTATTATTTCTTTTACTTTATCTAACCTAAACATTTTTCATTTTAGTTACTTTTATAATAATAAATAGAGAATACACATGAAAAACAAGAAATAAAGTACTTACCTGGGTCTTTTTTATGCTCTCCACTATCAATGAACGTAGTCCTACTTTTTTTATACCAATTGTACCATTGCATTAAATAATTTTTATGTAGTTAAATAATTCACCAAAGAACACAGAATAATAATGTGCAAAATGGAAACAATGTTCCATAACAATCACAGTTTTTCTGGCTTTCTAACTGTGTGACCAAAACCGTTAAAAATTCAGCTAAGCTTGTCGATGTGTTTCCCGTGGGAATAAAGTTTGAACTGGAATGAAAATGGACAATTCTCTGAACAGACAACAATGTAATATATCATTTGATAGAGAAAAACTTTGTCTTTTTGTTGGTTATAACCCTTTCCAGGCAGGTCATGGGTGAAAGGCCATGTCATCGCATTTGTTGACTTGCATTAAAAATTTTATTAAACTACTATTTCATGAATTTATGTCAATAAGTTTGATATCAAACTGTAGATTATAATTCATATTTTAGCATTATACCCTACTCAATTTTTTCATTTAAAAGTAAATATTAAAAAACAGTTAAACATCAATTTGTGTGTATCATGTAGTATGTTGAATGCAGCATTGATTCAGATTAGATGTTTGTGATGTCAAAATACTAAGTCTTAGGAATTAGGAACTCAAATTACCAATATTGACAAGGTACAATATAAAATAAGAGCCTCTTTTCAATTTGCTAAGTATTGCTCATGTAATGAATCAAACACATTGGCACCCCACCCACCTCTTTCCATTTTTGGAAATGCTCCATTATATACACTTACTCCTATATATGACATAAATAACCAATCAAAAGCTCAGAATGTCCCCCTTGTGGCTTTCTTGGCCATTTTAAAGGGTTTGGTTGCCATCTCTTTTTTTCGAACCAAGATTTTAAGGAGGTAGGTTGTGTCTTTAGTCTGCTAAAAATTTCATATTATTTTAGACTGAAATACAGCTTATTTACTAAGCTTTATAAATTATACTAGAATTCTGGGGTATTGATGTAGTAATTTATTATTTTTTGGTTATTCAACTGTATATCTAAAACCTAAAAAAATATTTCGTTTCGTATCCTCCATTTGCAAAATTTTAAAAGCCTTAGCAACCTACGTGAAGCAGCAACCGAGTTTGTTACAAAGATCGTAACTAGAAGAGATAATTGTTTGCTTTACTTCTT